CATTCATCATAACTCGTGAATCAACACTCTTCAACAAAATGGGTTAGTCGAGAGAAAAAATCGACATCTCCTCGACATTACTCACTCATTTCACTCTAATGTTCCAAAATGTTTCTGGAATGATGTCATTCTTTCCATCACTTATCTTATTAATTGAGTTCTCTAAAAAATTCACAACTTTCGTTCCCCTTTATCTGTCTTGAGATCATGTTTTCCTAACAATCGGGTCTTCTCCATTTTAGATCCCAAAATTTTTGGGTACACAACCTTTGCTCGGAGCGCGTCCGAATTAGGAGTAAACTTGATCCCATGTTCATAAAACTTGTTTTCATCATATACTCTGCACGCAAATAGGTTATCGATGCTTTGACCCTAAGACAAGTAAGGTCTATGTGAGTGCTGATGTTTTCTTTTTCGAAATTGTTCCCTACTTTGCTAACTTGGCCTCAAGTGAGGGAGAGATAGAGTTCTTAGACACAGTTGCTTACCCTACTTCTGTGGATGTCACCCCCACGTCACCTATCATTGAGGAAGTCTTTGTTCCTTTAGTTCCACCCACTTCTTCTACCACCAAGGAGTAATCTGCCTCTTTGGTTCCACCAGCACATCCTCCCACTCTCCGTGTCTACATTCGACGCACTCGATCTAACGCATCTACTCTGGAGCTCGCTAACCCCTTGCTGGAACTTGAATCCTCCCAAGAAGACATCCCTAGTGCCGCTCCTACTCTAAATGAGGAAAACTAAGGTCCACAATCAGACAGACTCTCTCTATCCCATGGCAAACTATGTCTCTCTTTGTAGATTATCACGAACCTATAAAGCATTTGCTACGACTCTAACCAATCATCAGACTCTATTCACTATTAAGACTGCCTTAGCAGAGCTAGCCTGAAAACCTACCGTCATTGAGAAAATGAATGCCCTTCAGCAGAATCATACTTGGCCATTGTTTATCTTCCTCCTCGGAACCAATGAGTTTTTAGCGTCGAATTTAAATCTGATGGATCCTTTGAACGCAACAAGTTATTGTTGGTCGCCAAAGGGTAGTCACATCTATATAGAGTTGACTATGAGGAGACATTGCCTCAGTTGCTAAATTAAACACCATTCGAGTCCTCTTATCCCTTGCAGTAAATCAACATTGGCCCTTATTCCAGTTTTATGTCAAGAATGCGTTCATGGACGACATTCTTACAGAGGAGGTATGCATGACTCTTTCTCCAAGCTTTGACTCCACTGCCTCCCAGGGGCAGGTATGTAGACTGCGGAAATCCATCTATGGATTGAAGCAATCATCACGGGCATGGTTTGAGAAATTCACTAAGGTGGTGGTAGAATTGTTGGTCGCCAAAGGGTAGTCACATCCATATAGAGTTGACTATGAGGAGACATTGCTTCAGTTGTTAAATTAAACACCATTCGAGTCCTCTTATCCCTTGCAGTAAATCAACATTGGCCCTTATTCCAGTTTTATGTCAAGAATGCGTTCATGGACGACATTCTTACGGAGGAGGTATGCATGACTCTTTCTCCAGGCTTTGACTCCACTGCCTCCCAAGGGCAGGTATGTAGACTGCGAAAATCCATCTATGGATTGAAGCAATCATCACGTGCATGGTTTGAGAAATTCACTAAGGTGGTGGTAGAACATGAATTCACTCAGACTCAATCAGACCATACTCCCTTCTTCCGACATTCCTCCAACGGCCAAATAGTTATCCTTATTCTCTATGTTGATGATATTGTTCTCACAAGGTAATGATCTACCAACATTGAAGTCTCCGAAAGACATTCTCGCTGCTTCCTTTGAAATGAAGGACTTGAGATCTCTCTAGTACTTCTTAGGCATGAAAGTTCGGTCATCTCAAGCTATTTGCTTGTCTCAGTGGAAATATGTGATTGATCTTTTGACAGAGGACAATCTTTTCTTGTGCAAACTAATGGCTGTCCCGATGGATTCCAATGAAAACTTCTTTATGTTCTCAATGCAGTTCCTGTAAACAAGACTCACTACCAACGTCTTGTGGGGAAACTCATGTAAAACTCATCTACTTTGCCCTTGCACGCCCCGACATATGACACGAAGTTGGGATATTCAGTCAATTCATGCATGATCTCTATGAGCACCATCTCCAAGCTGTCTACCAGATTTTCCACTATTTAAAAGGCACACCAGACTTAGGTTTGTTTTTTTTCCCACATCTCTTATTCTATCGTTGTTTACACAGATGTAGATTTGGTTGGGTTTGTCCGTGATCGGCGATCTACCTTGGGGTACTGCTCAATTGTGTGTGGAAACTTGATCAAGTGGAAAAACAAAGTAGTCTGTAATTGCTTGGAGTAGTGTAGAAGTCGAATTTCGGTCAATGTCTTTGGGAATTTGTGAAGCTCTCTGGTTATGCATTATGCTCCACGAACTACGCATGACAGTCTTCACTCCCCCATAGTTATTATGTGATAACAAGGCTGCCATTAGCATTGTTCACAGTCTGGTTCAGCATCATCGTACCAAGCATCTTGAGATTGGCCGTCACTTCATTAAGGAGAAACTCGAGTCCGGGGAAATTTTTGTTTCGTTTGTGCCATCTAGTGGCCAACTATTAGATATTCTCACAAAGAACTTTCCTCTGCCACTGTTCGATGATTTCAAATCCAAGTTGAACATGACTGACATTTTATGCTTCAACTTGAGTGGAGTTATTAGAATATTAGAATATTAATATGTAGAATTCCGTATTAATTAATTTGATTTGCTTTTATTTACTTTCCCTCTACCCTTTTTTCCGTTTTTATTTGTTTCCTTACTAGTAGATCATGTAATGGGTATTACCCCTCTTTACATCGGTAAAATTTACCCTTGTTCTATTCTAACAATATTAGCTCTCTATTGTGATTTTGTTGTTGTATATACAAACAATGTGGACAGGCATGTGATTGTAATTCAATATTGAAGAAAGTCATTCTATTTGGTTATCAGGCACTTACATTTATCGTGATGATTGGGAAGGGTTTGATAAAGTTGTATGTTGGAAAGTAATTTATAATAGTTTTGAAAGCATTTTTTGGGAGTATAAAACAAATTAAGCACGATATTTTGTCATTTTATGATCTTATCTTGAATCTTTTTTGCAATGGGACACATGCAGATAGAAAAACTCTTTCATCGGCACTTGTTGGATTAACCATTTCCGTTGTTGCTCAAGCTCTGATTATAGCGCCACCATTTGGACAGTTGCACTAGAGGCTATGATACTAGAATTCATTATTTTAACTCATATTTTTGAAACTTCAGACCTTCAAATGTGCTATTAAAGTTGAATGGTGAAAAAATATTTTGGAGAAGTTCAGTCTCTTTAAGTTGGTGGTCCTAATTTGACATTTCTTTGGTGGGATTAGCTATTTATCTTATAAGTTCTTTATACCCTTCTTGACACATTCTCTATACTTCTTTTACATATTGCTTGGCATTTTAAACATCACTGAAGAATGCTCATTCACTACCCAAGCCCTCAAACATCTCCAAATCTTTCATTGATGTATTGTTCAAAAACCTAAGCAAACATCCACCCTGGCAAGTCATCAAACCCCATAAAATTTCACAAACCACTCCAGATCATAAGTTCATATTTTAATATGATCCTCCATCTTCATTTCCATTCTTCTGGTCAGATTTAAACCTATTCCAAAAAAGAGAGATCAAACCAACCTAAATTAGCCTAATTTGATATATTTGTTGTTTTTTCTTCTATCATGCCCCTTTAAAGATCTCTCTCATTCCAAAAACTTGAGATTAAATCCCCACAAATTAAACTAAACATCTATAATCATTTCATGTCTCCACAATGAACCTCCACAATGAAACATCTAGTCATTTAAGGTCTAAATTTTTGAGGGGGTTGATTGTTTTTTTTCTTGTTGATAAAACTTGATTGTTTTTTTTCTTTCAACAAATAGAGAGATCACATCCACGATATATTCATATTTTAAGTTGAACAGTCATTTAAGGTCTAAATTTTTGAGGGGGTTGATTGTTTTTTTTCTTTCAAGTTCATCTGTTTTTCTTTTTTTTGTACTTTTATTATTCATTATTGCCTTGTTATTTTTGGATGCCAATTGATTATTAGGGTACTACACTCCCTTATTACTATATGACAATTAGTTTTTCTTGTACTCCTATTTTAATTATATTTTTTCTAGATATCATTTGATTGCTACTGTATGGAATAAAAGTAAGAAAAAAGAAAAAAATTAGTTTAAAAAACTGTTTCTCAGTTGAAATAGACTTCTTTTTATGTTTGGACAACATAGGGAATTTCTCTATCATTCCATTTCCAGATATTTCTGGATAAACCTTCTCACTTTCTAGGAAATGTTTTGAATTTAGGATTGTGAAGCACTGATTTAACACGCTGGATGACCAACTCGATCAATGAAGATGAGGCAACAAATGATTTATGTACAGAATTAGAGCCAGTTATTGAACATTTTCATGATAAAAATATTATATTGGAAAAACAAGGGGCTCACCCTCCCTTGGTTGACAATATACATGGGGGAGTCTGCTCCTCCTCGATTGTCTTGATGGGATGCTTCTAAAGTTGATTATGCGAATTGATGTGAATTAATAACAGATCACTCGCTCTATAACCATTAGTTATGGAAAATGTGTGGTTGGTGTTAATAGTAATGACTTGAGATGCTAATAGATGGCAATGACGATGAGAAAAATGATTGGGCAGAACATTTTACTCTCAACAAGCTTAATTTCTATGCGGATGAACTGTTGGAGATGTTGGCAGTTGATAAGCAATTGATGTCGACAAGCTTGCTATCACATTCAATTCTCTACTTGCAGTGTTTGAGCCATCTTGGCTCTGCCCAGCCCAGCAATTTTTTGTTTGATATTTCTTCCTTTTGTTTTTCTTTTTTCTAACGATTTCCTTTTAAGTTTCTGTAAAGAATTATGATTTTTTTTTTCTTATGCCCTCTATAATCCAGGTTTGTGAACTTTAAGGAAAAGTAGTCATGAGGAAGTTAAAGTATCACGAGAAGAAACTCCTTAAAAAGGTAAATTTCATTGAGTATAAAAGAGAGAAAGGACATCGAGAGGCTCTCATTACGCGTCGATACCAACTTGTTCAAAGAGATGATTATAAGAAGTATTCTTCTACTCTTTAATTAATTTAACTAAGACGTTAAAAGCTGAAATTTTCATATTTTTTCTGTACTCTTCCGTAACTTGCATCTTCTAATTGGATACAGGTATTCTAAAATATGCAATATGGTACAAAAGCTTGTGCACATTTTGAAGCAGATTGATCCAAGAGACCCATATCGCATTGAGATGACTGATGCGCTGCTGGAAAAGCTGTAAGCTTGCTCTTAGAAATTTTAAATTGTTTTTTGATTTTTTGGGATTTCTATATCCTTTGCATTCTTACTATTTAGCGGCTAAACTGATAATTGTCTTATATTGTTGTCGATTGTTTTTTTTTAAGGCTGCGTTTGGAAGAGTTTTGAGATTGCATTCCATTGTACAGGGAGTCAAAAAATTTGTTTGGCTGCAATACCTGTATAAAAATACTTTTAAAAAACTGCCCTTTTTCTTTCAAAGCCATTGCTGTTTCCAAATAACTTTAAAACACCGCTTTCTGAAAAAACAAATTTTTAGCTAAACTTTATAAAATCGAAAGTTCCACCAAACGGAGCTTTAATCTCTTTTCGTTCTTGTGCCAAGTAATTATTGTTCGTTTGAGATATTTTGCTCAGATTCATTCTCTTTAATTTCTGAGTTTTTTCTTGATAAACGATTTAGAAGAAGAGACTATTTTATATAGGTGTCATGATACATTGTTTTTCTGTAGACGGACTTCAATGCACTTGAGAAATGAATTCATACATTTATAAGCTGTGTATAGCTGTCGATTGACTAAACAGCTTTTCTTTGCTTTCTTTCATTTTCCTTTTTGATCACTTTTATTATATCTGTGACCGCTAAGACATTACTTTGTATATACGCTGCAGTTACAATATGGGCGTTATTTCAACAAAGAAGAGCTTGGTTAAGTGCGAGAAACTATCCGTGAGTTCGTTTTGCAGGTAAGAAAAATAATCATTATTATTACACTCAAATCTTTTTAGTTAAAAATATGACCAACTTCACTTTTGCTAGCTTGCTATGCTTGGCATTTGCTCGCTCATGGTTAGGCTTTTAGAATACAATTCTATGTTATGCAATTAGAAAAGTTTTCAAATGGTACCAGAGTCTAGGGGTGTCAAAAATTCACCCGACACATCAAACCGACTTAAACTTGACTAAAAAACCCGGTTAGAGTTGACCCGAATATTTTGCGAGTCGGGTTCTGATCAGAGAATTCGACCTGTTTATTATTCGGATCAGGTTTGAGTTAAACTTGAAAATCACAACATGACCTGAATAAACACAAAATTTCGGGCTGAGTTTGGGTTAGCGTATCAAGTTCAAGTTCGGGTCTTAGTTTTTCGTCAGGTCATTTTCGGGCCAGACCCCCGCTTCTTGACCAGAATTGATACCCTTGTCGGAGTATAGAAGTGTCATTTAGTCCTCAAACTTTTTTAATAGGGGCTGAAAGACATCATTGGGTATTATTTTAGCTCAGATTAAAAGAGTTTAGGGATTAATTTGACATTTTTATAGACTTTAAGGCTAAAATAATCTCATATAAGTAGTTGGGAACTATTTTGAGACTTCAATTATTCCGACGTAGGACTTTTTTTTTCCCTGACAAATTATGGTTAACAGGCGCAGGTTGGCAACTGTTCTTACATACAACAAGTTTGCAGAACATCTGAAGGAGGCAGTGACATATATTGAGCAGGGGCACATAAGAGTTGGCCCTGATACAGTGAAAGACCCGGCTTATCTTGTGACTCGGAACATGGAGGACTTCATCACATGGGTTGATTCCTCTAAGATCAAGAGGAAGGTGATGGAGTACAATGATAGATTGGATGACTATGATGCTCTGAATGCGTAGGTCTGCTTTCTCATTTCAATTTTTGTTATTTCAGAGGCAAATGATTATCGAGGCCTTACATTTTGTAGTTTTATTTATATTATTTAGTGAGGAGAATGACTTGATTGGGGAAGAAATGAGGCGTTTAATGAATTCTGAGGATTGTATTGCTTTATAATTTTCATGAAATGGAGGTTTTATAGTTTCTGTACTGTTATTTTTATGGGGAGTTTACATTCAGCCGCTCAATTCATGTGTATTTACATATCTAAAGCCTAAATTTTAAATTTTTACATGTATGCCACCTTTTCTGCGCATTTCAATTTTTAAGAGTTAAAATAGTGGTATTTTTTATCTGATATAAAGTATTTGGGTGGTATAAATGTAAAAAGAAAAGCGCCCATTTTGAAATACTAGAAGGTTACGAACCGGATAATGGGGATCCAACGGGCATGTCAGTCCAAAATCTGTGAACATGCTATTCTGAATATGACAATAGAAACTAATTTTCTTAGAAGGTGCGATTAGATGCAGGCTTCTCAATTATTACTTGCATATCTAAATCTTAAACTCTGATTTTTATATTTCAAATACAAAGTTTACAAAAAGTGAAATGAAGCTTTTGAAGAATAGGTAAATTGCTATAAATATGAAAATTAAAATGTGCTAGATATGTAAATATATGAGAATTGTGTAGTGCATGTGTAAATTATCTTAGAAATTGAATGGATACATTATATGATTATAAGATGTAATCCTAATAGTTTTGCATTTCATTAATATTACAGAATTGTCATTTTTTTTAATTTTTGTTTCATTATTTGTGAACAGAAAAATTGCGAAGAAATTTGTGAAGAAGGCATTTTTTGCTCTCAAGTTAAGATACAACATGTGTGATTATAAGGGATTATATTACAATTTATTAGTAAAGGCATAAACTCATATGCATAATGTGTTAAGATGCTTGTTTAGAGTTTAGTCTTTCAAATTTGCTCGGTTTGTTATAAATATAATACATTGCAAAATAAATAGAATGCAAAAGTAATGTATTGTATTAAAATGCAATAAAATTGTTGAGGATTATTATAACATTATATATATAAAAAAAAAAACTGCCTCACCAAAACAGTGATGAAAGCTGCATTTAAAGCCAAAACTGTAATAAAAACTATTTAATCCTTGCAACTAAATAAAAAAGAAAGATTTACATGCATACCACCCAATTCTTATGTATTTACACATCTATTTACATACATACAATTTTTACATACATACCACCTTTCCTATTTCCTATTGCTTTAAAAGGTGTATAGGAAGTTTACATACGTACACACAATTCTTATGAATTTACAATTCTAACACCTAAAATTTGAAATTTACATTTGTAATTCCTTTGAGTTACAAATCATTGGATGAAAACGTGCATTTAACTTGAAAAAGTTTAGTAAAAATGATATTCATATCACATTAAAAATACCCCAAACTTTTAAAATAATACACTTTTTCATGCATAGGTAAGATGAACATGTATGTAAAAATTAAAATTTATGTTTTAGATATGTAAATACATAGGAATTGAGTGGTACATATGTAAATATAATTTAAATGTATTGATACCTCTTACTTGTTTTATGATTGTGAACCTATTTAAACACAAATCTTACAATTCATAAGGTTAGTAAGAACTTAACAAAAGCCCACACAATTAATGAATTAATACTTAATAAAAGCAAGTAAGAACATTTATGACTACCTTCGTGTACATTCGTTTTTAAAGCTATTATGGTCATAAGTGATTATAAGCTTTTGAAAAATCTATCAAATCAAAGTGCTTGATTAAGAAGTTTTAAAAATGAACACACAAAGCATCCCATTTTTAGGAGAAATAATTATAAAACAAATAAAAGAAAAATATATCACATGTCAAATATGAGATGCTCAAAATGTAGCATCCCATTTTGACATTTTAATCATAAATATGTAAATTGGTGCCTTTAAGCCTTATCCAACTATAAAAAAAATTAAAATTTTTTTTTGAAATATTTGCAGTAGTGCTACTTATTTTTTAGACATTTACATACATACCACTCAATTCTTATGCATTTAAATATCAAACACCTAAACTTTATTTTCTTCCCAGAAAGGACCATTTTAGTTTTCGGAAAGCCAAACACATCTTTTTCCTGCATAAATAAAGCGGCATATATGTAAAAATTAAAATTTTAGAAGCTAGATATGTAAAGACAAAAGAATTAAAGTTGTATTTATGTAAAATCATTCATAATTTTTTTGACTAGTAAAATTATATTTGATTTAAATTTTCCTTCTTAATTTACTTAATTAATTTAATTTATGAGCATAAAAATTAATAACAAGTAATAAGAGAAATTTGATAGTGCAATTTGGTTATAAAGTTGGGGTTTGGTGCAAATGTTACCATGAGCTGGTGGCATCTTTTCTGTTTTTGCTTTGAGGCTGCAGTCTACATTGTGAATCATCAACTAAGAAATAGCATTATTATCTTTTTCCTGAAGTTGTTTAATTACAAAATTTTAATTTAGTGATTCTGACAGGGGATCATGGTTAGGGGTGTTTTTTCTTAGGATGATTTTTTGAGGCATTTACGTCCGTACCACTCAATTCCTACGAATTTACATATCTAACATCTAAATCTTGCTTTTTTTACATTTATATCATTCAAATATATCTTCATGTATAAGTAAGATGATATCTATATGTAAAAAATTGACGTCTAGCCGTTTGAAATGTAAATACAAAGGAATGAGCGGTATTTATGTCAATCTTTTTTTAAAATTTTTATTTGCAAGACTATTTGGAAATAAGGAAGGTGATTTGGACATGGATGTTAGTTGTTAGAAAGTCAGTTTGGTGATGTTAGCTATGTTGGCTGTTGTTACTTTATATTCAAAGATTTTGATAATGAAATCATGAGATATTTTATGATTTTAGGTTTGTTCATTTTGCTTTGATAATGATGGTGTTGAATCTGATGAGCATGAAATTATTGTCAATGAATAGTCTCCCTACATGCCAATATTATATTAGGGTTGGGATAGGTTTTGTTGGACAATCAACAAGCATTTCCAAGCATGGAAAGGATTAGTCTGCGCTGGCATTTGAATTGCTGATTTAATTTGATTTTTAATGAACCCCCTGTTTCTATTAATCCTTAATTAAAAACTTATGTATTAAACGTAGATTAAAATCTTAGAAATTGAATGGATACATTATATGATTATAAGATGTAATCCTAATAGTTTTGCATTTCATTAATATTACAGAATTGTCATTTTTTTTAATTTTTGTTTCATTATTTGTGAACAGAAAAACTGCGAAGAAATTTGTGAAGAAGGCATTTTTTGCTCTCAAGTTAAGATACAACATGTGTGATTATAAGGGATTATATTACAATTTATTAGTAAAGGCATAAACTCATATGCATAATGTGTTAAGATGCTTGTTTAGAGTTTAGTCTTTCAAATTTGCTCGGTTTGTTATAAATATAATACATTGCAAAATAAATAGAATGCAAAAGTAATGTATTGTATTAAAATGCAATAAAATTGTTGAGGATTATTATAACATTATATATATAAAAAAAAAAACTGCCTCACCAAAACAGTGATGAAAGCTGCATTTAAAGCCAAAACTGTAATAAAAACTATTTAATCCTTGCAACTAAATAAAAAAGAAAGATTTACATGCATACCACCCAATTCTTATGTATTTACACATCTAAAACCTAAACTTCAATTTTTACATACATACCACCTTTCCTATTTCCTATTGCTTTAAAAGGTGTATAGGAAGTTTACATACGTACACACAATTCTTATGAATTTACAATTCTAACACCTAAAATTTGAAATTTACATTTGTAATTCCTTTGAGTTACAAATCATTGGATGAAAACGTGCATTTAACTTGAAAAAGTTTAGTAAAAATGATATTCATATCACATTAAAAATACTTCTAACTTTTAAAATAATACACTTTTTCATGCATAGGTAAGATGAACATGTATGTGAAAATTAAAATTTATGTTTTAGATATGTAAATACATAGGAATTGAGTGGTACATATGTAAATATAATTTAAATGTATTGATACCTCTTACTTGTTTTATGATTGTGAACCTATTTAAACACAAATCTTACAATTCATAAGGTTAGTAAGAACTTAACAAAAGCCCACACAATTAATGAATTAATACTTAATAAAAGCAAGTAAGAACATTTATGACTACCTTCGTGTACATTCGTTTTTAAAGCAATTATGGTCATAAGTGATTATAAGCTTTTGAAAAATCTATCAAATCAAAGTGCTTGATTAAGAAGTTTTAAAAATGAACACACAAAGCATCCCATTTTTAGGAGAAATAATTATAAAACAAATAAAAGAAAAATATATCACATGTCAAATATGAGATGCTCAAAATGTAGCATCCCATTTTGACATTTTAATCATAAATATGTAAATTGGTGCCTTTAAGCCTTATCCAACTATAAAAAAAATTAAAATTTTTTTTTGAAATATTTGCAGTAGTGCTACTTATTTTTTAGACATTTACATACATACCACTCAATTCTTATGCATTTAAATATCAAACACCTAAACTTTATTTTCTTCCCAGAAAGGACCATTTTAGTTTTCGGAAAGCCAAACACATCTTTTTCCTGCATAAATAAAGCGGCATATATGTAAAAATTAAAATTTTAGAAGCTAGATATGTAAAGACAAAAGAATTAAAGTTGTATTTATGTAAAATCATTCATAATTTTTTTGACTAGTAAAATTATATTTGATTTAAATTTTCCTTCTTAATTTACTTAATTAATTTAATTTATGAGCATAAAAATTAATAACAAGTAATAAGAGAAATTTGATAGTGCAATTTGGTTATAAAGTTGGGGTTTGGTGCAAATGTTACCATGAGCTGGTGGCATCTTTTCTGTTTTTGCTTTGAGGCTGCAGTCTACATTGTGAATCATCAACTAAGAAATAGCATTATTATCTTTTTCCTGAAGTTGTTTAATTACAAAATTTTAATTTAGTGATTCTGACAGGGGATCATGGTTAGGGGTGTTTTTTCTTAGGATGATTTTTTGAGGCATTTACGTCCGTACCACTCAATTCCTACGAATTTACATATCTAACATCTAAATCTTGCTTTTTTTTTACATT